ATATGAAATGTAATCAAATTTACGCTTCGATCTGGGACGCTCACACGCAAAATGTGTTCTAAAAATATACAACTTCGTACTGCAATGAGATTTTCTGGGCCAATTTCACAGCGATACTGTTTATATCAGCCTAATTTAACGTGACGAAATGATTCACATTTGCAGCGTGCTATGTTTGCTCAGCGTGTTGCCGATTTAATTTTGCAACGCTGGATTCACCCACCACAATAATTGCGACTCGTTCTCGTGACATTGACTAAATTAATATATAGGGGTGATCTTCTTTGGTTCTTTCGGTAAAGTCACGTAGAATGAGAATAAATAATAAAATAACATAATAACATTCTCACGACGTGACCAGTCACAAGCTAATCCCTCAGCTATTTGATATGTAAACCCCTTTGTCAAGATGCCTCACTTCTCCCAACCAGCTTAAAAGTCGCTACGAATCTTAACATCGTTCATTGAAGCTCTGTCGTTCCGACAGGTCTGCACCTTTCCCCTGAAGACGGCCGCTTGCGTTGTGGCCGAAACGTCGTGAGAATTGTATTGTGTTATTTAATTATTTTATTCTCATTCTACGTGACTTTACCGAAAGAACCAACGAAGATGAATCCTTGCAGTCACGAAAGCTTTAAATCGAAATAGAGGGGTGATTTAACCCGCTCGAGCTCTGCCCACTGTGCAGATGTCACGAGGCTATTGTCACGGAAGGCAACTCGAGTCAATGTGCTCTGCCCCGGGAAAAAAAAAAAACTACCCCAAGGAGTTACGATGGATTATTTTCTTTGAAGCTAAAGCACATCCTTACATCTCAACAAAGATAAAAGTGCAGGTCTGCAATTTCCTGTTCACGCCACTGCTGACAGAAGTTACGTGAGATACACCTTGTGACATTCCAAAGGAAAGACATAGACGCCCAGTAACCACAATGTCACACAATCACAAGCGAAGTGGTGGCAGAGTCAACACAGGTCATAAAATTCACAATCCCGCAATGCGCGAGTCGATGAGAAATACCTTGGAATGGACGCAGACGTTTGAAAATCCCGTTGTGGTCGCTTGCACAGGCGACGTCAGTGCCGTACTCACTATCAAGAGGCAGTGTTTGTGCCGTCCGTTGATGATTTTGTAAGCCCGGCATGTCCGTGACGTGGCACATTGATTGCAGTAAGCCGTCACATTTTCCTCTGGCAGGATTTCCACACATTTCACAGAGTCGGATGGGGTGGGAATAGATTGCATGCGATACACAACATTGGAAGGCACAAACCAAAATAACAATACAGTAGTACTGTAGATACCACAGTTCTTATCAGTTCACAGGGTACATTTATTCGCCATATAAGTGTGCATACACAATACTTAAATATTCATGGAAATAAATATGAAAATAAAGAAACAGGGACATTTATTATAATATTTAGGACTAATTTATTATTCCCTGATCTTATCATTGTGTTTAGTTATCTGGTTACACCCAAGTATGAGATGTTATTGCGGTGAAGTTATTAAATGTGTTTTTCATCAAAGCTTGATGTTTTTGAGGGTTCCGTGTTAGCATACCAACAAAGCAAAACAAATTCCAATTTACAACTCATTAGCCCAGGACATCTCTATCCCACAGTGATCTCTCTCTCCCACGGAGACCGATTTACACGTCCTCGACAGTTGAGTGTGATTGGTGAGTTTGGAAGGATTCTTTTAAACAAAACAAGGAGTTCTTAAATCGAAATGCGACGACGCAGCTAGTGAGAGTGCTCATGTTAACGTCTTCGACACCACAGATAATAGGGGTTGTGGATGAGTTTCACACTATGCTCATGTAAAAAAGACAAAGACCCCCCGTATAGTCTGAACAGACTGTAGGGGCAAGTGCTGTTAGCGAGCACCTATTAAGGCCGGCACGGCACACGATACGGTGGGTGGCCAACACTACGCCCAGCCGCCTTTGTCTCCCTAGTGGCGATGTTCACACATCGCACCAGGTACTCATTTGAGGCTGAGTCAACCTAGGTGATGCCCAGGACCGGTTCAGATAATCATCACTGGTGTTTGCCCTGAGCGGGAAACGAACCCGGGTCGCCAGGTTCGTAGCGCAGCGTAGCACTAACCGCCATACACTGCACTTGGCACACGCATACATAAATACACAGACGCGTATAATAACATTGGCAAGGAGCCTAGCTGAATACATACAAGACTACAAAAATATAATACTTTTACACCTCAATTACAATTTGATGCTAAATTGTCTCTTCTGTATGATAGCTTGACCAGCAATTCTATTTAACAATCCGTTTCTTTACCTGTTTAATTAGGGAAATACTGACCTTAAATGTGTTCAATGCTTCTATAAATAATTGTGTAATGAGCGGTATAAAGAGGTTTTTTTCCTCCCAGCTAACTTTCGTATTTTTTTAATAAAAGCAGTTGTCTTTGATCTGATTTCTATTTGGTTGTTGTTGCTCTGATTCATATTTGCTTCCCTGCTGTACTTTATTTTATTTCATTGCTTTGTCATATTGGTGATCCAGGTCACAATACCCTTGAACTCTAATATCTGATAATGGTATCACTTGGTCTTTACCTGGTAAGATTAAACAAATAGTTTAGTTGTATTTGTATGTAAATTTTCAACGATTTTACTTAACTTGACTCCTGTGTCGTAGTCAAATCTTGTAATCAAAAGTTAGTCTACTTCCTGTTGGACAATCAATTCCAAATGTTGCACGCGTACTCAGATCCGGTGACAATGCATGCAATTTACATTTTGTATGGACGCCTTATTATTTATATATTTTTGTGTAGGTCAAAAACGCCGCGGTCCCTAAACTCTTGAATCGCCTCTCTCAAGAACCAGGCGCCACGTGTCTCAGGCGCGCCAGTTGTGAATAAAACCGTTGATTAAAAAAGCACATTCCTGCGGAGGGAGCTGGTAGGAACGTTGGGTTGCTCGGTCAATGGCCAGGGTCAACGGCGGCACCACGTGGTGTATTCCACAAATGTGCCCGACGGTGAGGGCGGGCACAAGCCGGCGTGAGAAGGTTAAACGTTGAGTTTTATAAGGGCACCACGGGGTGACCAGCCCCTCCCCACCCAGCTCCACCCCTCCCACCCCCCACCCAGCCCCACCCTCCCCACCCAGCCCCTCCCCACCCTCCCCACCCAGCCCCTCCCCACCCTCCCCTCCCCACCCTCCCCTCCCCACCCAGCCCCTCCCCACCCTCCCCTCCCCACCCTCCCCTCCCCACCCAGCCCCTCCCTCCCCACCCAGCCCCTCCCCACCCTCCCCTCCCCACCCAGCCCCTCTCCACCCTCCCCTCTCCACCCTCCCCTCTCCACCCAGCCCCACCTCTCCCATTTTTGGATGCACGACGGACGGACGAACGGACACAACAATCCCCTGTGGGCTGGTGTAGTAACCAGGAGGTTCCTACCAGTAAAACTTTCTTTAAAGGAGTGTATTAAGTCATTGTTTAACTTTCCCACACGTTGCATTGCTCGCGTGTTTTTGTGTTATTAATTGTCGTGACACTCTGACCCGCCTCGACTGGACATCTGTGAGACAAAACGACCTTTGAAGCTCATCGGATTCCTGCAGTCGAAACAAATATTCTGATTCTGACTCGGAAGGGAAATGCCACGGGAAATTATGATATCACAGGAATAGACGGGCAAGGCCATCATTTCTGGTGGCTGGAGAAGCAACCTAGAGATGCCACAGTGAGGATCGCATGGTCGACCATAAGAATAACATTATCATGGGATCTTTTTTGACAGCATCAAATGATGAAGTAAAAATAAGAATATTTTTTTACATGCAAACTAAATATATTGCCAGAGTATGTTTTGTTTGCATGTTCACTCCAAGCACGCTTGGTTAATGCAGTAACTTAATTCCTTGCAAAATCTTTCTATTTGGTGTTTGAACATCTTTACACCTGTTTTATAAAGGGTATATAAAACATTTTTTTCAAGAACATTGCACTTCGAACGCAATGCAATTACGGCAACAGTAACCATTTCAGGCCACCAGAGGGCACTAAGTAGACATTCATAAAATCGCGAATTCACGAAAGAAAATTCGAATTGCTCTATTCTTATTCATGAATCTTTGGTCATACAGCCATAGATTCGCTCTTGGTGTTTTTGAACTTTGAACCTCTACTCAGCAACTATGAAGAAAAATCACTTCCTCTTCAAGGTCACTTCTCACGATGGTTAGCAGATTATCTTTAAAAGACGGCACGCAGATAGTTTCAAATAAAATATTTCCATTGAACCTATTAACGTGACTTTACCGAAAGACCCAAGAATATGAATAGGAATTCCTGCAGTCACGAAAGCTTTAAAGTCAATATACAACATAACTCGCAGACAAGACGTCTTGTCTGCATTTGTGGTCGAAGGACCCTCGTCTGAGAGAGAGTCATTGCCCATGAGATTCTGGAAGTTCATTCACCAGCATTGGTCCAAGCAAGCTTGACTACTGATGAGACACTGTGCGTTGAAACGGGCCCAGCGTTTGCTTAGAACTATACCGAACTGCTGAAGCTGTGCACTCTGAGAAGGGAGCCTGGGACGTGTAAGCGAAGCACTGGCACGGCGTGTGTGTGTGTGGAGGGACAGCTGTGATGAAGACCCTACGTCTTCATCTTGATTTGTCTTCTCCATCGCCACCGTCGAGGGGTGGGTGATGCGACTCGACACCCCGCCCCCAAAACACCCCACGGCCCCGCCCTTACTTCACATTGCCCCGCCCCTAACACCCCATTGTCCCGCCCCTACCCCTCATTGCCCCGCTCCTACCCCTAATTGCCACGCCCCTACCCCCCAGTCCAGGCCCCGCCCTATAACCCTTCGGTCCCGCCCTTATTCCATCTGGTCCCGCCTCTAGGTCCCCACGGCGCTGAGGGATCCACCCCTTAGGGCTCCGCCCTCCATACCCACAGCCCCGCCTCCAAACCCTATAGCCCCGCCCTCGTGCCTTCAGGCCCCGCCTCCAGCGACCAGGTCTGGTGTCACGCTGTCGGTGGGGAGCGGGTGTTGGCTCCCCGGGTCGGTCTCCCCGCGCCTCCCGCTCCTCGTCTCCTCCTCCTCCTAGCCGGGGTGTGCAGCCCCCCCCTCCCCCCCCCCCAGCAGCAGCGCACGCCCCAGCCCGTGCGGGGTCTCCGCCAGAAGCGGCGAGCCTGTTCCGGGGGGGCTCCGTCTCCCTCCCTCTCGCAGTGTCACTGCCCGCTCCGTATTGTGCCCCCCGCACAGCCGCCGCGTCTCCCCGCCCCGCAGCCGATCTCTCTCCCCGCTCGCTGCGTCTGCCCGTACGGCCACGGTCGGGCAGAGAGGTCTCTCCCAAGCCCCGCCGCGTCTCCCTCTGCCCACCGCTGCCCACCGCTGCCCGGGGACACCTGGCAGGGCAGTGGCTCCACCTGGAGCGGTCAACGTGGACGCAGGGCGCGGCAGAAGGCGAAGTGACCTCGAGGGAGGGAGCCAGGCGGATCGAGCAGGAGCCGTTGACGCACCGGCCTGGCGGGAGAGATCGCGAAGTGCCGAAGGAGTCGGGACGGGCCCTGCAGTGAGCCGGCGCAGAGAGAGAGAGAGCGAGAGAGCCGGCGCAGGCGCACACGGAGCCTGAGCAGAGACAGAGACACAGAGAGAGACACCAGGGATCGGGCACACGTAGCCTGAGCAGAGACACAGACACAGAGACACAGATACAGAGACACAGATACAGAGACACAGATACAGAGACACAGATACAGAGACACAGATACAGAGACACAGATACAGAGACACAGAGACAGAGACACAGAGAGAGACAGAGACACAGATACAGAGACAGACACCAGGGATCGGGCAAACGGAGCCTGAGCAGAGACGCGGAGACAGAGAGACAGAGAGAGACACACAAGGGATCGGGCACACGCAGCCTGAGCAGAGACAGAGACACAGAGAGAGAGACACACCAGGGATCGGGCCATGCTGAGCCGAGTGCGCAACGCCGTGGCGAGCCTAGTGGGGGGGATGCTGCCGGGCTCGGCTGACAGTGGAGGAGGAGGAGGTGGAGGAGGTGGTGGTGGAGGAGGTGGAGGAGGAGGAGGTGGACACGGCGCGGAGGGTACCGAGGCGCTGTCCGTGCGCTTCCCTTACTCGCGCCCAGAGTTCCTCAACCTGAGCGCGGACGAGGCGGAGTGCTCCGCGGACCACCTGGTGCGACCCATCCTCATCCCCAGGGAGGGCGGCCGCAAGATGCCCTGGGCCACGGGATACGCAGAGTAAGCGCTGGGCCTGGGGCTCGTGGTGGTGGTGGTGGTGATGTCGCAAATGAATGTTCGCCCGACGATGGCTGTGGTGATGTGATGGAGAGACGCTGGCTGCCATGTCTGGCGATGGATGTGCACGGCTGTTATGATTGGCCAGTGATGATGATAACCCATTCAGATGTCGTGTTGGATAATGATGGCTCTGGCGACTTAAGAGTGGTTGGTGGTATTGGAGATGTGGGGAGCGGTGGCGCAGCGGTTAGCGCGCTGCGCGACGAACCCGGCGATCCCAGTTCGATTCCCGCTCACGGCCACCAACACCAGTGACGATTATCTTAATCGGTCCCGGGCCTCCCCTAGGTTGACTCGGCCTCAAATGAGTATCTGTAAACATCGCCACTAGGGAGCCAAAGGCGGCCGGGCGTGGTGCTGGCCACCCACCCCCTCGTGTGCCGTGCCGGCCTTCATAGATGCTCGCTAACAGCACTTGCCCCAACAGTCTGTCACAGGCAATACGGGGGATCTTTGCCTTTGATGATGGAGGTGGTGGTGAGTATGGTGGTGGTGGTGATGAGAAACATTGTGTCGGTACGAACGGTGGCATTGACAGTGATGTCTTGGGTATGAGAGCGCTTGCTGGTGCCGATTTCCTGATGCGTTGTTGATAGTGTCACGGCAGAGATGTGATGCTGATTTACAATGCTGGAGGCGGGGTAGCTGCGTTGCGATTACAGCGGTGATGGTCATTTGTGTTGTGGCAGTGGTGCCCTGTCGTGCGAGAACGATGAACAGGTTTTGTCACTGGCCATTGTTTTGACGATGAAAATGGTGGGGTCGATGGTGGTGTTAGTTTTCCTGAAAATGATGGCCCATGAAGTTGATTACTGAATTGTGCATTTTTTTTGCTCATTTAATGCTCCGGGTACCAGATGTAAATGCACAATTTTTTAGAGCTGCCCTCCTGTAATTTGACATGCAAGACCAGTAAGCCCATTTACTCGACAGCCTTGGGTGTTCACTATACGGTGCAGTACTGTACAGGCTGATCAATTTGTAGATACCAAATAAGACGTAAATCCTCTGCACATCTCCCACCGGGCTAGATACGCGTACTAAACATTTTAACGCTTCCTCTGTAAGAAAAGGATCCGCCGTGTTCACACTGTTCAATCACTTGTTGAGAAGGAAGGGGACAGGGTCGCTGGACATCAGTGTAATACCAATAAATTTGATCACCGTGTATATCTCCCATCACCAACCATGTGTAAGGAGGGCAAGCTAAGGTCGACCTTAGTAACACTGGGTGCCTGATGATAACTTTCACTCCCCATTAACCCTGCACTTGCATTTTAAGCCAGTTGCTGCTTACGCAAAGTTGACCGATAACCCGCCGCTTGTCTTGTATTCGGGCGTCCGTGTCTCGCGTAGCACTCAACGTCCTAAAAGGCGAGTGCACAGAGTGAATGAGGCACACCGTTTTAGGGCAAATGCTCAAACTCATTAGAGGGCAAATTATGATCAAGGACCCCGGGTGCGTGCGGCTCATTTGCCTGTCAATCAATAGCCCTGGTGCCGCGTAATAGCAGTCACATGTGGCACCTAAAGTGACCGGACCACGCTTTGAAGGAGGAGGGCATCGGACACTCGGACAGCGGCATCCGTTATGTAAGGTCTAACCCTCTCGACGTGCCAGCTGGTGTGGATATCATCGAGGATTAATAATTATTACAGGCTCTCTGCCCTCCACGTCGCCTTGTATAAATAGCATGATGGTTTTATCGCAGTCGGGGGGAGGTGGGGAGGCCACTGAGTGGGTTAGCTGTGCAAACCCCACGCTGTTGTGTTTAACGTGATGCGATTATAAGAGTGACGTCTCATCGCTGTTTGTGCGCCACACATATGTCTGCGTGGCATATACCTGTGATTAGCACGGTTGGCTACTACGTACGGTGCGAAAGAAGTTGAGCATGCATACGCCTGTAGTTTGTATTACAGGCGTGTCTTGCATAACGAGAGAAATACGTTTTGCGAAAATTGCTCGGTAAGCGAAAACTCCTTACACGATCACTGTTTTCCCATTGACCATCATGTTAAAAGCTGAGCAGATATGTTGCAACCCCACCAATTTTCAACTCTTGAACAACCTTTTTAACGTGAGAAATACGAATTGTAAATTTTAAATAAAGTAATACTCTTATGTAAGCGCACAACTTTATCTGTGATGAACGCTGCACTTTCCGTCGTTATCATGCAGGGGGCGCTGTAAACCTACGCACCCCCTGCATGAACGACGGAGGCGCAGGGACAGACGTTCGATTACGTTGGAATCGATCTGCAGACGGCGGTCTTCTCACACGGCCAGCAGCTCTATGTCGCCTTATCTCGATCCCGCAATCCCAAACAGGTGAAAGTCCGCATCGAACCGAACCCCCAGCAAGGCCATCTACTTAAACGACGAGAGAAAATTCACACGAAATGTCGTTTTCAATTAAGTGTTACAGATGTAAAATGATAAGCTTTTAATCTCTCTGTATAAAAGGAAAATTTGTGAATGTGTGTCTGTCCGAAATGTTTAGCATACTTCCAAACGTGCAACAAACTTGAAATTTGGCATGTGGGCAGCTTCCAGACTACACAATGCAAAACGTCTAAAAGTAGACTTTTGTATTTTGGGGGGGAGGGTCACAATAATGCATATATTTTGCATGGCAAGTGAGCTGTGACGTCACACCTGTGATGTCACCCGCATGCGGCAGCGTCACGCACTGTGCCTGCTGACGTCACGCATCCCCCCCACCCTCCGCGTAGGCCGTGTATTAATCCAAGACAAGAATCCAAGTCTCGGGCGAAGCCGGGTAGTGAAGCTCGTGAATAAATAAAATTATCTATTCAAAACATAATACAATTCAAAGATGTTTCATTTTAAAACTTCAAAACGGAGCATCGGGTGCTTGCGTCGTTCGCGGGCAATTTTTTTCGCGACTTTCCTGGCCGAAGGTCGTAAATGGTGCGCCCCCTGCCTGATCGATCGGTCTCCACTCGCTAAGCGAACATTTTGCTCGTTTTGCGAACAAATGGGTCTGAAGTCATAAAATGCCCGTTATAGTGAATTCTCGAAGAAAGAGCGCTCGTTGAGCGAGACACGCCTGTTTTAATACCAATCGGGGGGATTTCAGTTGAGGCATCATGGGCAATAATTTTTCGTGTCTTGGTTTTGGAGGATGTTTTACCATTGCCCATTGCTATGAGTAGTTAATATAAAACAGGTTACTTTATATATTTGGCAATTTCAAAATAATTCCCCATTACAAGCAAATGCTCACTATTTTAGGGCTGATATTTGCTGGGTTATGAAATTAAAATGGTTACTGTGAAGCTTATTTGGTTGGAAATAAAGTGGTTCCTTAATGGAATTGTTGAAAATAATTTACTTTTCATATATTTTCGGTAAACAATTTTTTTTGTCATAAATGCAAAACTCTATTGTCCCAACATAAATCCGTTAAATGTAGCAATATTTGAATATTTTCTATTGATTCGTAATTACTTTAATTACTTTTGGGTTCAAATCTATTTGTGACGTGGACAAATATGCCAACTGAATTGTATTATCAGCAAACCAGGATGTTTCAAAGCAAGCATCGGTTTTGACAATTTTACGACGTTTCTCTGGAGATTACAACCCAATATCCATCAGGCGTTGGCACGAGGTCCGCTCTCGCGGGAATGAACACCCAGGTTCAGCTCCTCAATAAGAGGATCCGTAATGTCATCAGGCCAGTCATGCAGATGCACCGATTTAATGACCTAGAGTTGGTTGCTGGCTGATTGGTTGGTATCGGCAGGTTAGATTCGTTTCATACGGTGAATCTATTTATCGGTCGGTGAAAATATGGTTTCCTCGCTTATATTATTACGGTGTACTGTGTTGGTAATGAAGCTGGAGTTTTAATGCTATTCTGATTTTAGTTACGCGTTAATTGGTTACTATTGTGGGGATTGGCGCTATGAGGACTTAGCTTGTACAGGTTGATTTAAATATATTCTGGTATTAAATTATCATAAAATATCAATTAAGTTGGGGTTTTCCCAAACTCCAGCCCTCGCGATCCACCATGCTACGTCTTGCCCGCGTTTACGAATTGACTCGTTCAACCACGAATTGACTCGTTCAACCACGAATTGACTCGTTCAACCACGAATTGACTCGTTCAACCACGAATTGACTCGTTCAACCACGAATTGACTCGTTCAACCACGAATTGACTCGTTCAACCACGAATTGACTCGTTCAACCACGAATGGACTCGTTCAACCACGAATGGACTCGTTCAACCACGAATGGACTCGTTCAACCACGAATTGACTCGTTCAACCACGAATTGACTCGTTCAACCACGAATTGACTCGTTCAACCACGAATTGACTCGTTCAACCACGAATTGACTCGTTCAACCACGAATTGACTCGTTCAACCACGAATTGACTCGTTCAACCACGAATTGACTCGTTCAACCACGAATTGACTCGTTCAACCACGAATTGACTCGTTCAACCACGAATTGACTCGTTCAACCACGAATTCACTCGTTCAACCACGAATTCACTCGTTCAACCACGAATTCACTCGTTCAACCACGAATTCACTCGTTCAACCACGAATTCACTCGTTCAACCACGAATTCACTCGTTCAACCACGAATTCACTCGTTCAACCACGAATTCACTCGTTCAACCACGAATTCACTCGTTCAACCACGAATTCACTCGTTCAACCACGAATTCACTCGTTCAACCACGAATTCACTCGTTCCACGCTGCACGCGCCCGATGATTGTTAAACACGTCTCACGTGCTGCGCTCGGAATTCACGCCGTCTGCGTTAATAGAGCCGGTTTGAAATCAAGATTGAGATCTCAAGTGTGCGAGTAGAGGACTGTATAGTGTTCCACGTGATGCAGACAGCCTTGATTGCTTAGCTCGTCACGTGGGACGTGTTTAAGAATCATTGG